TATTTTTGAATATAGGCATTTTCACCAATTTATGTGGCTAAACACAAGTATTTATAGGGATTTTTATTCGCTTCATCATCATGATAATACTGCTGAAACCTAAAGAAGAAGGTCTTAAGTATCAGATGAAATTCAGGAAAAAACCAAAATTTTATCTTATCCAATATTAATCTTTTTCCTTTGCCTTTCAGGCTGAAAGTCTTTAATTGTAGGAGAAATTCAGACTCCTAATGATACTCACCTCCAGAAACTTATGCAAGGCAAGACACAGGCTTTCAGGCTTTTCTCCACTATAGGATCAGTCAGTAATTGAATATATCAATAGGTTGTAGGAGGGAGAACCATGGCTGCAATTACCTGTAATAACATAAACAAGCAGAACTATGTTGTTTGAGAGCATTTCTTTTTTTTCCAGCTAAAATTGCATGGGTGTTTCTGTACAGTAAGGAGAAAAAAATTTAAAAGTTTTACTAGAAGAAGCCTCCATTGTACCCCATGCTAACAAACTTGTTGCTAAATAGTTGACTTTGGAAGCTAAAGTTCACTTGGTAGGGGCTGGAGGGACTTTGACTCTCTTTTTGATACCCCTATATGTCTACTTTTCTGTTGTGGTGCTCCCAGAAAATTGAGGAGAGAATAGTTTCCTAGTTGTCATTTGGTGTTGTAAGGCATACTATTCATGTTTTCTGGAGTTCACCAGAGACCAAGGTGAGACCACTGTGCCAGCACTTCAGATCTACAAGCAAATGCCAAGGAGGAGATAGGCCCACAGGTCAAAAAGATGTGAGGCAATAAAGGGGAGAAGATTGTAGCTACAACAGTTTTAACCCCTTGATGACATAAATAGGAACCTGAGAGTTTTGCAGAGAATTATGCTTGTTACTTGGCTTATAATAAATAAATTGTCACTTTCAGTCTGTTTTCTCATCTAGAAAATGGCTATATCATCAATATATGCAGTAATAACAAATATCCCCAAAATTTCAGTGACTAAAATGGCAAAGGTTTGTTTCTTGCTTCTTGCTGGGATATCAGTGGGAATGGCAGGGCACTCTGGTGTATTATCCTCACCCAGCCTCCCACATTGACTGGCTTTACCATCTGGAATATTCAGCCATGGACTAGGGAAATAACTGTGGCAAATCCTACAGGAGCTCTTAAAGACTTTCAGGTAAAAAATGTGTCCATTCATATCTCCTTGGCCAGGAGAAGTCATGTGGCCATATCCCACTTTAAGGAAGGGGAAAGTATAATCCCCTCATGCCCACGCATGGAGGTGAACCAGAGTCTTGGTAAATGCCCCTCCTAGACCCATAGTATACTGATGCCTTGTGATCATTACCCCACATGGAAGTTCACCACCCCACTTACATAGGAAAAGACTAGAGAGAAATGAACACCACTGAAAAGGGATTGTTTTCATAGATATGAAAAAATGGAAGGTTATTTTAAATTTCTATAATGTACTTAAATTTGTAATTTGAAAACCAAAACATTTGTATAAATGTCAACTAGCAATAATAGAAATAATACCCCTTTTTCCTGATAAGTTGTAATTATTGTATTACCTTCTGGAATGAGGTTTTACTTGGATATATGTACTTAGGTTATTGTTACATGAAAGCACCACATCAAATTTGACCTAGCCCCTGTCCTTATGAAACAAAATACCTGAAGTCACACACCCACCTCAGTTAAAACATGCGTCTATGACTAGTAAAAACTTGGAGTGGGTAGAGGCACTAACTTAGTAAGGATAATGGAATGTGACGATAGATTTGGACCTCACTTTACCAGGCCATCCTGCCTATGAGGTGGGCAGTGAGGATGGGGGTGCATTGCCAGGGCAGGAAGGCACTGATTACACACAGGACAGCTTTGTCTCAGGCACCACCCTCTCACCTTCTGCTTTTCCTGCACTAAAGTGCCACGTTCCTGGGGTTGGTGCTCATGGAGTTTAATGGGAGCTGTTTGGCAAGGATGTCTGTTGGGTTCTTTGGTTCTTGCAGGTGGTGACTTGTTCCTTCTTGCAATGTTGCACTGTGGGAGTTGTTCCACTTTTGTCAGCACTCCAGCTTGGAAAATCTCAGGTGGTTTTCACTAAATTCGGAGATCAGCACTTCTACATATCTTTGACTCAGTGCAATGAATGTGCAAAGAATGAATGGATGAAGTGTTGTTTGAGATGCCTCAAGGGGATATTGATTTGTGCAGATGAACCTTTTCAGCCATTTATTCATCTAGAGCCTAAGAGTTTTGATAATTACTTTCTAGTATTCTCCTTTCACTTGGAAGAGTCCCTAGGATACCATTCTCTTACCTCTTCTTTTCCTTATTTCTTATTCTCCAGCAGAGAAGTCCACCTGGAAGCTCTGAGCACAGTTTCCTTCAAAGTGGGCAACAGTGATGCCCCCATCCCTGTGGTATCTTGCGTAATATCTTAGACATTGTAGGGAATCAAAACATATCAATTAAATATTAAATTATTGAGGTTTTCCACCATTTTAAAAAACATACCTATGGAAAAATATAAGACTGTAACCAAATATCTCGGTTTTTTTCTTCAATATATTCTTGTTGCTATGAACTCAATGAGCCAATAAGTTCCAATACATCTTGCCTCTTTTTTCTCCCTTCAGCTATAAGCACTGTTGTGTCTCACTGAATCATCAGGCTTGTTCTTATCTCCTGTAACTATTTTTACTCTTCATTTAGAGGCAGGGGCAGAGGTACAGTAACAGAGATCATGTTCTTGTTACCCTGGCATGAACCACCGCTATCTCTACAACCTGGGAACCCCAGGAGATCTTACTTTTTTGGCAGCTTTCAACAGTCCACGGGGATGCTCAGATTTCTCTTAGTGCTCATCAATTAATCATGTGCCTTTTTCTTCTATAAACACTTGGACATCTACATTTTAGATAGATTTGCAATTTCTTGTCTACCTTGGTGGTAGTGGCCCATTGACATATAAAGACTGTGAAGGAGGAAGAATAAGTGAGGAACTGATTAAGGGACAGTGTGAGCTCATTGAGTTTGTAAGGTGAAGAATTTCACAGTAGTCTGTATCCCAGAGGACTGACTATACTGAAGAAAATCAAAGAGGAGGAACTAGAAACATGGCAATATGTGTAAGGGTCAGAGACCAGGCATTATCCTCTAGTTATTTTAAGATCTGGAGTTAGCAACCTTCATGAAAGTGTTAGGAACTCCTCTATACATATGTACATACTATACACCCAATTAGAAGATGGGAATGAAGACCGATAGCAAAAGTTTATAGATATTCAACAGGGATGGAGAAGAGCGTAATTTACTGTTGTAATGTGCCAGAGAAATATGACACGCTTTTGTTTATTGACAGAAATTGTCTGAGACACTGTCATTTTGTGCAGTTCTGTTGTTCCTTTTAAAATGTGATGGGTCATGGAAAAAGCATAACTTCATAGAAACAACACTTGTGGCCCTTTAGGGTTTCGTTCCATTTGGGAAAGCTTCCATGTAAATGCAGCTTTTACTAAGCTTTCACCATTGCCTTTGGTTCCACTTATTTCCTGTGTATTTGATCTTGAGTGAAAATTATTTGATATTTTGGGTTGTCATTGAGAATTGTAGTTTTTCTCAAGTTTTGTCAAATTGTAGTTTTTTAGAAGTAACTAATGTAGGTCTATGATACAGTTTTCAATAGCCTTGTCACCTCTGATCTTGTTTCTGGCACCCTGAACAGCTCCCAGTATTACATTAATACTGATCAAGCTGGTGGCACAAGTCGTGTTCACAGGTGTGGTCTCTACCATGACTTATACTGATGCACTTATCCAGCCTTGTCAAGTACTTTTATTTTAGCATTGAGTCGAGTTTAGTGTCATGTTCTGCTTCTCTTTGAAGGCTTTTTGTCTTTGTCCAGTAGCTTCTGAGTTGGAAGTCTACCAGTTTTAGGAAGGAAGGAGGGCTTTGAAAAGTGTGGGTGAGAAGTATTAACCCTGCCTCCTGCCAACAGCCTTGCAAGCACAAGACTGGCAAGTACATGTGCTCTTGGCATTAGGAAAGCCTTGCCGAAAATGAAATTAAAATTCCTCAGCTGGTCAGAAAATTAATCAGGACTGAATCTAAGTAGACAGAGACATAAGCTAGACTCCTTGTTCCAATACTGATGAGCATTTCATTATTATGTGGATAAAATGTAGAGTCATGGAAGAGGCCAAGTAGGGAAAGAAATGAAAGAGGTGAACAGTATCTTTAGGATTTAAATTCTGGCTACAAAAAAATTTTATAGCAGCTGTTACCTCTTAGTTGCCTTCATGACAGTATGATAAATTGTGAGTTACTCATTTCATAGCACTTCTAGAGCATCCACAGTGAAGCAGTGATATGACATGTGCTAGCACTAAGTTGTGACCATACCTAGTCCTTGCCTTCCAGGAGTTTATAACTGGGTAGGAAAGGACAGTAGAGAGTGCAAAGTCTGTAATAACCAGTCAGATAAGAAGTACTGCCATACCACTTAGGATTATTTGGTAGGAAAGTAACTGTAATGCATCCCAGCAAATTTAAAAAGGATTAAATTGATAAAAGGGGAAAGGAGCTTGAAAGGAATCTGGAGATATAGACTGCAAGAACTAAGGGACCATCTCTTCAGGATCCTCAAATGAGGTAACTCCGTGGAAACTTAGGTCTATTCATTCAAAATTCAGATTCTCAAAAGAAAGAATCTGCTGGATCCAGCTGGGGCATGCACCACTTCTCAGCAGGGGAAAAGAGAAGACAGTGCAACAGCATAGAGACCTCTCTCCAGGGAGAATAAGTGCTAAAAAACAGACTCAGATTTTCCCAGAAGTAGCTGTTTCTGTGTCTCCTGGGATTGCCATCTGTGAGCAGGTGTGTGTTTATTTGTGGCACACTCAGTGTTAAGGTCATGCTGATCTGATGCCATAGACTGTAGAATCATTTCCTGTAGGTTCTTTGACTCACTGACACCTGTTTCCTTCTCTTGATCCCAGAGTGAGCAGTCTCACCTCATGAGAGAACATGAGGATGTCCAAGAACGAACAACACTTCGGTACGAGGAACGCATCACAGAGCTCCACAGCATCATTGCTGAGCTCAACAGGAAGATAGACCGCTTGCAAGGCACTACCATCAGGTAGTTGGATCCAATTTCTGGCTGTTCTCTGCCCCTCTGGGCTGTACCCTGGTATTAAGATGTTTTATTTGTAACTTAGACTTGTATAGCTAATAAACTACTTTCTCTTCTCTGTTAACCATGTACTTTCTCCTCCATTATCTGTTTTGATTTTCATCTTCTGGATAACCCTGCAAGATAGATAGGGAGGGAGTTATAATCCTCAGTTAAGTCAGAAGTTGAGTGAAAGACTTTATCAATAAGTTTAAAATGGAGGTCCTCTGTCTTGAGAGACCAGCACCTTTTTTATCCATCAGATTTGCTCTAGACAAGTAAACTATGTACAGCTCTTGGGATTTACAAATGTAGTTTATAATTAATAATAGAGGCTTCAAGCAATTCTAATAAAACTTTGAGCTTTCCTCACTGACTTAACCTCTTGCAAATCACTAAGGTAGGGGGCAAGATTTTATCCATTGTTTTACTGTGAAAAACCTGGTGCTTAAAAATATTAAGCGGCTACTTTGATTTTACGTTTATAAGAGAGTAGAAGTAGAACTAGAACCTCCAGTGTCTCTGTCCTCACTTAAGTTTTATTCCTTGCAAATGTCTATGGGGCACCCTGTCTTCCTTGTTTCTCAATCAGTTGACCCCTAAATTTCCTGAACACTCACTTTGTGTATCTGCCCTACTCTTTCAGAGGAGGCATTTGCTCTAAGTGACTCACTAAGCAAGGATGGGAACTTTTTCTCTCCCTGTCTATGTCCAAGGAACAGCCCCGAGGAAAGCGAAAAGCTGGTACTTACCTTTATGAAGAAAGAATGCTTTGTTTGTTGAATGTTTGTTCAACTCACAGTTAATACAGTTTTAGAGGCAGCTACTTTAAACCCTCCCTTTAGAAGTCCAAGTCATAAGAAACTTTGGATGCATTTCATAACAACTCTAGGAACTCCACTAATGATGGGGCTACTTGCTGACAGTACTGGTGGGCCTCTGTTTTCTGAGCAAAATCATGGAAACATTTACACTGAGCTGAAGCCACACAATAAATTCCATATTCAAATTAGAACCTCAGTTTTTAAATTGCTTCTTGACATTTAGAGTGATTGTAGGTTAGAAATGTATGAACAGAGTTAGAATTTTCAGCCCCTCAAAATAATTATAGTAAAGTACATCAGCAAGTTTGTAATTCCCATAAAGCACTTAAGAAGGTGAAAGCAAATGGGCTCAATTATTTTTTCATTTCCTTTGCTTCTCACTGTTTACACACAACGAAGCTACAATTTTTGTATATTGATCTTGTACCTGCCACATTGCTGTGTTTATCTATTATTTCTACTAATAGATAGAAATAGTTTTTTTGGTGGCATATTTAGGGTTTTATATAGATAATGTATCATCTACAAATAGTAGTAGTTTCACTTTTCTGATGTGGATTCTGTTTAATTCCTGTTTTTGTCTGATACCTATGGACAAAACCTCTAATACTAGGTTAAAAAGGAGTGGTGACAGTGCATATCCTTGTCTTGTTCCTGATCTTAGGGGAAAACTTTTACTTTCACCATTGATTATTTTATTGAATTTAGATTTATAATATGTCACCTTTATTATATTGAGGAGGATTCCTACTATTCTCATCTTGTTTAGAGTTTTTACCATAAATAGTACTGAATGTTATGAAATGTTCTCTCTGTATATTGATATTACCATATGATTTTTATCTTTCTTTTTTGATATGGTATATTATATTAATTGATTTAAGTATATAAAGCCATCCTTGCTTCATTGGGATAAATCCCACTTTGAGCAGGGGATTAATTGTGATGTATAATGCTTTTGATACATTGTTGAACTTGATATGCTACTATTTTGTTGAAGATTTTGCATCAATGTTCATCAGGGGTATTGGTCTATAATTTTTTTTTCTGGTGCTATTATAACCGGATCTGGGCAGCCCCCAGAGGCCACAGGGCAAGAAGGTTTTGTTGGGGCTGATGCATACTGGCCTCAGCCCACCACCTGTGGATATTTCCCCTTACCTAGCCTCAGCAAGGTTGGCTCCAGCCATGGCTCTCTGGGACCAACAGGCCCACAAACCTGCACTGACCTAAGTGCAAGCCTATTTGGGCTTTTCCCCCTTTTATATCTGACTTTCAGATTCTAAAATGGAATGGTCAGGTGGGAGCTAAATGGACCAATCAGGTGCAAGCTAAATAGACCAATCAGGTCCAAGCTCAATTAATTCATGAATTATTCAGATTGAAACATAGAAAATAAGCTGATAGGTGCTAAACAGCCGAATCTAACACTTAGGATTGAAAAGAGTCCAATCAGGCTTGTGGAGTAGGGCACCCTGAGGGGGATATAAAGCAGAGCAAGAGACAGCTTTATTCATTCTGCTTCTGGCCTTCAAAGAGGAAGCATTATTAATCAGACCACCTTTGAAGAAGGATTTGGCAGATGGCCTCTGAAGACAGAGAAGCATCAAATAGCTCCATGGGATTCAGAGGACCTGCATGGACTTCCAGAGCTCCAGACCTCCATAGACCTGCACAGAGACTGGCTGCTGCACCTGCGTCCGACCCTACCTCTGACATCACCTGCAAGGAGCACTGTCAAGCTTGGCCCAGCTCAAAGAGCTGACCACAGCCTCTGGTTCTCTGGCACCATCTCTTGGTGCTATTGAGTCCATCTCTGTCTGGTCTCGTGTCCAGCCCAGGCTCTAGACGGCTGTTGTGGACTACTGCTGTGTTGCCTCATCTTCTACGAGTGCCCTTTGTTTGGAATTTCTAGATACTATCTGGGCTCAGATAGCTGGCCACGTGTGACCTTAGAAACTCTTTCCCCCAATCTCCTGTTTGTTAAATAAACGCTGTTGTTGTTGGAGGACCCTGAGCCTGAATGGTCTTGTGTGTGGGGGAGAACCCACTGACAGTGACTTGTTTCTGCACTTTAAACACTGTCCTTTGACTCTGTTTTAGCCCCTTGGCACAGTTTGAACACTGTTTTAGATCTGTATAACATTGTCATAGTACTATTTTCAGTTTGGCAGGAGCCAACCTCACTGGGGTTTGGGAGGGGCTACATCCACAGCTGGTGGGTTGAGGCCTGTGTGCCTTGGCTCAAACAAAGCCTTCTTGCCCAGTGGCCTCTGGGCACCATGGGATCTGGTTACACTATCTTTATCTGGTTTCAGCATTAGGGTAATTAAGTACCTTGAAATGTTTTAGGAAGTGTTCCTGTGTCTTGAATTTTTAAAAATAACTTCAGCAAGACAGCCATTAATTCTCATTTAAAAGTTTGATAAAATTCATTTTTAAAGTCATCTGGTTCTAGGCTTTTGTTTTTGAGAAGATATTCTATATTGCTGTTTCGATTTATATGCTTGTGACTGTGGTTTGTTCAATTCCTCTGTTTCTTCCTGATTAAGTCTAGTAAATTATATTGATCTATGAGTTTGTCCATTTCCTCAAGATTGTTGAACTTAATGGCATATTGTTGTTTATAGTAATCTCTTATAGCATTTGCATTTCTGTGCATATTCTGTGATAATTACTTCTTTTTCATTTCTGATTCATTTATTAATGTTTTCCTCCTTTCTTTGTTAGCCTAGCTAGAGATTCACCTATTATGTTAATCTCAAAGAACCAACTATTAATTTCATTGATCTCTTATAGTTTTTTTCATCTGTTTCATTTATTTCCATTCTTATTTTCATTTCCTTCCTTCTGCCGAATTTTGATCTTTTTATTTCCTCTTTTACAAGTTGCTCTCAGTATAGTTTTATGTTTTTTATTTGGGATTTTTGTTTGTTTGGTTGATATGGTCATGTATTGTAATTACCTTACTTTTTAAGTCTGTTTTTGCAGCATCCCATATATTCTGGTAGCTTGTATCCTTGTCTTAATTAGTGCAATGTATTTTTAATTTCTGTTTCAATTTCCTCTTTTACTGACTGGCCAATAAGTAGCACGTTGTATAGTCTCCTGGTATTTTATAGTTTTTCCCATTTTTTTAATTCTTGATTTCAAACCTTATGGCATTATGGTCATTGAGAATATAATATTGATTTTTGGTATAAGTTTTAGTTATAATTTTTTTGACAATTGACTTGTGTCTCAGCACATGGTCTCTTATTGAAAATTCCATGAGCATTTGAAAAAGATGTGTTAACAGTGATTTTGGGTATGGGTACCTGTAGCTACAGTAAGCCTAGTTGGTCTAGGTCCTCTTTTAAGGCTGTTGTTCCTTCATTTATTCTCTGTTTTATTGATCTGTCTACACTTGTAAGAATATTAAAACCCTCTGGCATTTGTCAATATCTCTCCTTTAGCTCTGTTAGTAATTATCTTATGTATCTCAGTGTTCCATCATGTGGTATATATACATTTTTTCAGTATTAGTCCTTCTTTATCATAACAAAATGTCCATTTCTTATTACCATTTTTAATTGGAAGTCTAATTTATCTAATATAAATATAGCTATTCTGAATTTTTTAATTGCTGTTTGCTTATAGGATTATTTCTAGCCTTTCACTTTAAGTCCATGCTTGTCTTATTGGTAAGATGGTTTCTTGTAAACAGCAGAAGGCTGAACTTTACTTTGAAATCTATTCAGCCACTACAACTTTTTTTTTAATTTTTTTTTATTTATACATACAAGAATGGGTACAGGCCAGAGGTGTGGGGGTGGTGAGAGGATTCACCAAAGACAGAGTGAGAACAAAACAGGCAGATTGACTGAAATGCACTGCTGAGGGGAGCAGCTGGCAAGTCAGGAGAGGTCTGCTGCACCATGTAGGTCACCTACCTGGCCAGGGATCAAACTCATGCTGTAGTAGCTGCGGATTACTTCATAGCCGTCAGCCACTACAACTTTTGACTGGTGAATTCAGGCCATTTATATTATTGATTATTGAGACATAAGTATTAACTGCCATTTCATTATTTTTTACTTTGTCTTATCTTTTACTTTTGAAGTCTTGTAACAGGGTGGTCCCCAGGAAAGGGGGAGGTTCCAG